GTGGATTCTGGCTATAATTTATTTTTTTCTTAAATGACTCTATTTTGAACTATTCCTCTTATTTTATTTTATTTTTTTTGAAAACAGAAATATTTAATCCTTTTCCCATACATTAGAACTTGTTTTGTCCTCAGGGCACAGTTTGACATGTGCATGTGCACTCAGGATTCACCTCATGATGTGCTCACTGCAGGAGAGAGAACAGAAATGCTAGCCTCTGATTAACGATCACTTCAAAATCTAACACTATTTTTATCTTCTGACTCACTCCAAATTATTCTTTTTTTGGTACTGGGAATCGAACTCAGAGACTTGCCCTTGTCAGGCAGATGCTGCACCACCAAGCTACATTTCCAGCCCTCTAAATTATTCTTAACCATAATCTTTTTTTTTTTTTTTGATGCTACTAGGGATTGAACCCAGGGCCTCTCACATGCTAGGCAAATGTGCTACCACTAAGCTGCACCCCTTCCTACCATAATCTTTCTTTTCAGGGGAGAGAATTATTGATAGAAATGCAGCCAAGAAAGAATCTTTCCCACCATAATTGCAAGGGAGCCCAGTGTTCTCAGTCAATCCACCCATCAACTTCCATAAGCATGCTGTTTGGTGCGCTCAATGCACACCCAAGATTTCCCTTTCTCCTGATACACTGTGCCACCAAAATCTCTGAATTCCCTGAAGCTCAAAATTTCAAGTATCATAGCCAGTGCCAAGAGTCAAACCTGAAGATAAAAGCAGAGATGTTCCCCTCTGCAAGTGTTAGGTTTCTTCTTTGCAATAATAATAATCATCATAATAACAATAATAAAAAATCCTGGTTCTACCATTCAGGAAAAGGATTATCCCTCCCTTTGCCAGTTCTGTCCCCACTTCCCTCCTCAAGGGTGGTCCAACTGAGGGTGTCTAGGGGTGCTGTGGAGGGCACTTGGCACCTGCCCTCAGTAAGCATGCTGGAAGGAGGACAAGACGAAAATGGGAAGGTGCTTGTACTTAGGGTCCCAAGGGTCCTCTGGGAACATGTCACTGACCTCAGAGCACCCTAGTGCTCATCTTGAGTCCAGGCATCACTGAGCCATGCTTTGGCCCTGACTGAGTCCCATGACAACAAGGCTGCATCGGGGGAGGGCTCTTTCACAGCCTGTCAATAATTTGTTCACCATGTCCATGTCCATGCTGCAGCCAGAGGCCTCTCACCACAGCCCAGTCCATTCCAGCCAAGGTAAGAATCAATGTTCCGATTCTCCTATGTGATCCTGGTCACAAGAAGCAGGTTGCAGGCCATGAACTGCACGCTCAGGACACTGCTCATCTGTCCAGTGTAGACACCCACGAGCTCACTGGAGGAGCCATCTGCGGGCGCACTACAGCATGTGTTCTGGAGGTCCCAGACACACACTGAGTTGTCCATGGAGGCAGAGGCCACTAGGCCATTGTCAGGGCTGAAGGCAAGGCTGGTGATGCTGTTTGTGTGGTCTCTAGCTCTTTAAAAAGGGTCCTGGAGGCCAGGTCCTGGTGGCCAGGTCCTACGGTTTTAACTGCTGGCCCTTGCCAACTTCCTGTTGGGAGCGAAACCCAGAGAAAGCACAAGGCCACGATGGCCTGTGAAGAGCCTCACTGAGTTCCCCTGCTGGGCACTCCACAGCCAGACAGTCTTGTCAGTCGAGCCCGTGGCTAAGTAGTTAGAGTTAGGGTGGAATCTGACACAGTCCACATCTGCCAGGTGTCCTGCATATGTCCTCAGTGGGTACGTCAGATCGAAGGACCACAGCCTGGCGGTGCAGTCGTGGGACCCACTAGCAAAGTACAGGCTGTATGAGCTGATGTCCAGGTCCCACATGGGGTAGGCATGTCCTTAGTACAGCACAGTGTTGGTGAAATCCCCCAGATCCCAGTACTGGATGGACATGTCCTCAGAACAAGAGAGCAACCCTGAGCTGTCCGTGAGGAAAACTGTGCTGTACACTGGCTCACAGTGTCCCCACAGGATTTTCATCTCCGTGCCCGCACTGACCTCCTCATCCTCCTCTTCCTCCAGAATATCACTAGTCAAGTGGATATATGATTGTCTACAAGGTGGGGCTCTGATTTCAACTTCTTGGACTGCAGACTCCAGAGTTTTATGCAGGAGTTGTCAAACCCAGCAGCAAGCAGCTTGCTATAGGAGGAAAATTCTGCAGTGTTTAGCAACTGCTCTGTGTTGTAGAAGCGGTAGAAGCAGATGGAGGTGAGGGAGGGAAGGTCATCCTTGATGTGTTTGATGCTGTCTTGTAAGACCTCAATGTGGCCTCGTTCTGCAGAATGGGGCTGGGCACATCCAGGGGCTCCAGGCCGCTGCTCTCACTGCGGGAGGAGCCACTACTGGTGTAGAGCTGATAGTTTGTTCTCTTGGCAGGCTGCACATCCAGGTGGATATGTAAGGTGAGGACCTCGTACAGGGCAGTGTTGTCACTTTGGAGGTAGTGGATCAGGTAGTTGTGGCTGTCTTCCTGGAGACGGACCACCTTCTTGTTATCTAGGAATGCACGAAGCTTGAAATTGGACAGGATGTCCTGGATGGTCTGAGTGGTCTGCAGCTGCTCAATAACATCCTTCTGGCTTGCATTCTGTGGAACATTCCATGGAAGCGGCTATAGAAACTTTCCACTGTGTTCTTCGGGTTGCTCTGGACAAGGCTGAGATGGAGGTAGACAAATAGTGGGTAGAGGAGAGGCATAACTTCACGGCTGTACTGGGAATCAGAATCAGTGAGAAAATTCCGCAGTCGTCCAAACTGTACTTTATATTGCTGGGGTTCTGCCGGGCAAGGAGCTGCAGACACTATGTTGCCACAACCAGATGCTAACTGGACTGTGAGTTTGGCTGCCATCTCCTCAGGAGTCTGAGACAGACGCAGGCCTTGCTTCGGTGGGCCATCCGAATCCACAAATCTACGTACTGCCGGCGCTTGAGGTAGCGGGACACTGCCATCTGGATGTGTTCCGTGCACACCAGTTTCATGACTGAACAACCCGGGCGGCTCCCGCTCCCACCGCTGCCGCCTGCGGCAGGGCCTGGCTCCACTGCCGCTAGCCAGGCCTCCCGCGGCCCTGGGCGGTTGCCCCACGACCGCCTAACGGAGGGGCACGCTGGCTGGGCCGCCGACGCCGACGCTCCTATTCCTCTTTTAAAGTGTTAAATATTTCTAAAAATATTTAAGTTTTATCTTAAATCTGTTCCTATATATTTAAATTATTTATAAATATACTATTCAATTTGGGCCTGGCATACTCATTCTATATTTTAAGTAAATTCATAAACAAATAGTTATTGACAGCATCTGATACATAAATGTGATAAGTGCATTTTACATCCCTTATTTCATTTACTCATTACATTTAATAAGATAGGTATTAAAATATTTTTACAGAACAGGAAACTGAGGCTCAGAGAACCTTATTTAAGATAATACAGAAGAGGTAGGATACAAACCTCTCTGCAGAAGATAACATACTACTGAACATCTAAAAATTAAGAAAAAGAAGAGGTGATTTGACAAAAGAAAAAAACAAAATGAACATTAATTGTTCTGAGAGACACTCCTCTGTGATTCTCTCATTCTTTTGCTTGTTTTGTGAGGTATGTCCAAAATTTACTGTCCTGACCACTCCTTACTCAGATCATTTTTCAGGCCTAGGTTTACAGGAAATACCCTTGAGGGATGAGTTCCCCTGAAACAAAGAGCAGAGCAGACTTTCTATGAGAGCAGTGGATTCCTCAGTAACAGAATTCCTTTCCTGTATTTTTAGCCCCCTACAACCAGAGTAGCTTTGATGTAAGAAGTTGAGGACAAAGAAAGGTGAGTAAAGAATGACTTCTACATATGAACTCTCCAAATATTATGTGTAATTGTGATATTGGAGTGTTCTGAAAAAACCAATAAAATCAATTAAATTTAATAGAAATAGCCAACATTTATTAGTGCTACTACATGCCTAGTAAGTTCTTAATGCTTTATGGTGTTACTCCTTGCAACACTGAGATAGGCACTACTGTATTATTATCCTCATTTTAAGGTATTAAGAATTTGGTCTAAGATTTTATAGCTAGGAAGTGTTGGCACCAGGCTCTGAATGTGGCCTCTTTAGCTCCACCACCCAGGTTCTCAATCACTTCCTTAGGAAGTTCCCACTATTTTTGGTAATAAACAGGAACTTTTATTAGAATCTATGTTTAGCATCCTCCATTCACCAAGAAGAGTACAATAAAAAGGGGTCTGCAAGGGAAAGGGTCTTGAAGATGCTTCAGATACATACATTATATAAACCTGAAGAAGATTCGGTCAGAGAAATAGGCCTGCACATGATAGGGCAAATATGTGTTATATATTATATGCTGGATTTTAGCTCTGGATTTTATGCTAGTGGCTTTACCTTGCAAAAAACAATGTTCCAAATACCATTCCAAATCCCAAAACATGAAACCAAAGTCAAAACAGATGTCCATATAAATGTCCATTAAAGATAGCAAAGAAACTGATTAATGTGACCACTTTCATTGCTAAGTATCTGAGGAGTATCTGGTAGCTCTCCCGGGTCAGTCTCTCAATTATGACTGTGGGACACTTCCTCCCCATTATTGTTGTTATTATTATTATTAATTATTTTCTCCAAGCACTATCTTTCTCTTTTCTAGTTTACCTTGGGAAGGATTGCGGTTCTATAAACAACTACAATTTGGGCATGTTAGAACCAAAGAAAGACAACGTAGGGAAGAAAATGAAATGAGAAAGAAATACTAGGGTCAAAGAGAAAGAAAACCAATCTGCTAAGGTAAGAAGATGTAATCCAAGCCCACTGAATTGGCATCTTGTCCACTCCAGAAACCGTTTCCTGTGCTTGCTCTCCAGGTAACTAGGCAACGACGTTGCCTTGGTAACCAAGGAAGCTCGGAGGGCCTGGAGGAGCCCTGAAGTGTCCAGGTCAGGGGCGGGGTGAGGGAGTCCTGGAATCTCGCGAGATCTACGTGAGGCTGTCGGGAGGCGTGCTGGACGCCGTTGCCCTTAGGAACAGCAGAGGGCCGGCTTGGAGCGGCCTCTGGAGTGGCGGATATGGCTGCCCCGCAAAGCCAGTCCAACTCTCCTCTGAGGGTCCTTGAGGAAGCTTTGGGCACGGGGTTGGCCGCCGCCGGTGACACGGAGGACGCAGAGGCGGCAGAGGGCGCCTACTACCTGGAGCGTATCCTTCCTGAGTGGCGTGGCCTTCAGGGCCCAGAGGCCGGGATGTAGTCGGGCGAAGGCGAACGCTTCCCTCTGGGGGCGCCGTTGGAGACCGGGGCCACTGAGCTCCTGGGACCCACGGTGACGTCTTTACCGCCCCCTGGGTTGCCACCTAGTGGATTTCTCCTTTTAGGATTTCCCCCGTTTCTCTTAGAAGAATTGGGAGACTTTCCAAGACCTTGTACTTGGTAACCACTCAAAACATTTTTGTTTGGAGGGTTGATTTTCTTGCTAAAGCAGCACAAGCGGTTGAGTCGACCCTCCTTTCACGTAATGGTTTTCCGAAATCTTCAAGTTTTCAGAATACCTTTGCTCTAAATTCAACTGGGGAATGTTAGGACCCTAGGCAAGACTTCTGCCACTAGGCTTTAATGAGCTGAGACTCAAGACTACTCTACTTGGAATCCTGTAGATGACTCAGTTGTCCAGTGATGGAACATTTTATCTCAGACCCATCATCTCCCTGAGTAGTTTCAGTATTAGTTATTTAATAATGACAATAATAATTGCTTTTTGTTTTCTTGTGCCACTAAGTGATGACCTGATGAACTGAGAAGTCTCTGAGATAATAGGAAGAAAATGGTGATGAGCAGTTACTAATAGAAGTACTAGACAAATTGAATAACCATGTGTGGATATTTAGGTTCACTATTTCTTTGTAAAGCTTGAGCACCCCTCCTGTAGGTATGTAGATTAATGATACCGGAGAGATGGGGAGTACTTGTGAGAAAAATTCTTGGTAGAAAGGTGAGATGGTTATCTATTTTATTCCTAAAGATATCAGACAAACTCAGCAACATCCCTTATTTTGTTTAGTTTGTTTGTTTTTTTAGACAGAGTCTTGCTTTGTGATTAAGGGTGGCTTGACCTCACTATGTAGCCCAGGCTGGTTTTGAACTCCTAGAGATTCTCCTGCCTCAGCTTCACAAGTGCTGGGATTACGGCATGCACCACTATGCCAGGCCTCAATCTCCCTTATTTTTGTCTCAACTCAGGTTTGCTATGCATCCATGCTTTAGGAAGTCATAAACAATGTAATGAAAAGATTACAGAAAACGTGTAGTATTTTAATGAATGCAAAATGATTTTTACAGGAATACGTTTGAATAGTTTGAAATCATTTTAATTGAAATATATGTGTACTTTAGTATCATGAGGTTTTATACTCTTCATAGCTCTAACAGCTGTCTTTTCTGGTAATATTCCTTTTTAAGTTAAAAAATGATTCATTTATCATCATCAAGCATAATGTTGTCCAGTGTCCTTGCTAGTGAATGGTAACCAAGGATCTTGGCAATTTTGTATGTATTAAAATGATTTCTGTAAACATAGTTTAGTTGTTAATATGAAACACAATGCAATAACTTTTTGCAAATTTCTTTGTGGAATATATGACATATTACCAATATAATGAAACTTTTTTTTTAATGAAACTTTTAAAAATGAAAATCAAATTTCCTAAATTTGCAGGGAGGTCATAGAGTCACAGCTGCCAACGTTTAGCAATTTACAAAGACTTTGCAAATATTCACTTTAACAGACATAAGCAATTTTGATTTTCCAGTATTTTATTACACATTTTGTGAATCATCTAGCCCCTTTGTTTTTCTTCCATCTCTGTTTGGTTGACTGATTACTATTTTGTTTTTCAATTGAAAGGTAGTCAGGGGATAGCAAAGTTAAACATTTAAGCATTCAGTTTTGCTATATTCAATGTTCAGGGAAAAGCTTTAGTCAAGGATTACTTGTGAACGCCAATTATCCTTGTATCCCTGGGCTCTCTTCACATGCATAATTAAGAGTTGATTGTATAATGTTATTTGACATTGTTTCTTAAGGCAATTATGGTAGTTGCCGAAGTGAGACTTTCTTGGGTTTAAAGTCTTTAGTTCTCAGGTAATTGAATTGAGCTACTTCAGTGTATAAATAAGAGTTATAATATGCGGAAATGAATAAGAAGTCAGATGTTCTCTACTTCGTATATGTACTTAATCACTTTTAATCTGCATTTGGCCCTGACTTACCTTATTTATGGTTGAGCAGATGTTCCTAGTGCACTAGACAATGGGCTGTCAATATTGTACAAAGCTTTGAAAGAGGTTAACTTGAATTTTTCAGGAAACTGCTCACTCCTTTCCTGTGCTCATTCAAACCTAAAGAACATGAAAGGACTAACATGACCCAATCTGCATACCTAGACAGAGCCTAACATGAGGGTGGGTCGGAATGTATTCATTAATATATACTTCACTTTCTTCATAACAGCTCAGAGAATGTGTTCAGGGGGAGAATTCCTACCCTGGCAACATTGCAGAATCCCTCCCTGTAATGCCCTACCTATAACAGTGGCATTTATTTCTCTTCTGAGCAACTTTACAGTATTATTGCTTTCATCTTTTAAATGTCTACAACATCAGATACAAAATATACATGACATAGTTCTTATTTACCACCAGAATTTTAATAAATTTAGCAATGGAGTACATGAATCCTCTGTAAAGCTCTTCATTGGGAAACTATTTGCAGCATTGAAAAATTTAAGGCTAGAGTTTGACTTTGAGATATGTGGGGGCCAAGTAGATATCTCCAGAACTTGGTTGACTGTGTTTTGTGAATGAATCCTCTACAAGAAATCAACACAACTTAGTTTAGATTTTCAATTGTAGTAATGGTTAGGGGGCTGCCCCCGACTGTGGAATTCTGGGAGTGTCCGTTTCCAACTGGTAGATTCAGGCTAGGATGAATTTACATTGAGAATGCTAAAGGTTAATTGATTTTATTATTTGTTCAAGGAAGAGTAAGTGGAACGTGGAGGCCTGAAAGTATTGTTTTAGTTACCCTTTACTCTGATTCTCTGCTTCTCTAATTAACTTTTGAGCATTTCATCTTTCTATACATTCTAACACTAAGAATTTGGCTTTTTATTCTGTGACTATAAATTTGCTGGCCACTAGAAAAGTCACCCCTGTCCCCAGTAGGAGTTTCTCATGATGCTAATCAACTCTGGAGGCAGTCCCCAAATCAACTATTGATTGCAGTTGTTAAATTTTCAGCTGCAAAATTAAGGATTCCACACTCTGAAATAGGGGCTAATATTAGACTGATGCCACATCTAAGATTCATGTTTGTCTTCTGAAGTGAAATCACCAGCCAGTCTTCCACTGAAATAGTAATATTCACTGATAGCTTTTAATTAAAATGGAACTTTTACCATTTTTGCTTTTTATTTTTTTGTTATTTATTATCTTTAATTTTTGGTAAAAATAAACGTTGTAGTAAGTGAAGATAATTAGAAAGCTGGGTATATAGATTTCTCTATTTGCCTTCTTATTCTTTTGCATGAATCATTTCCTTAGATAACCTCATTTCCTTTTGTTATAAAATGATACTTCTCCACTGCCTGCCTCGCAAGCATGAGATCCAGAGTTCGATTCCCAGTACCAAAAAAAAAAAAGATACTTCTCTGAAATGTTTATACTATTAAATGAAAAGATATTTATAAAGTCCTTAATACTCATTTACTCAAATGATATATTTCTTATTATCATTGGAAAATTTACTTTGTTCATGGGTGCTCAGATATTAAGTTATATATATCCTACGTGCATTCAAATAAAAAGGATAGATAATCTGAATATAGAATGTAGACCAAAAGTCATGTTACTAAATCCATAATACTGAATATTATATGTATGAAAGTCAAAGTCTATTTAGTAAGAAAAATTGTGTTTTATTCTGTTTTCTAGTCTAGACAAACTTTAGTATGCATGTGAATCTCCCCTGGATCTTTATAGTAATTTTTTTTTTGGTACTGAGGATTGAACTCAGGACCTTGCACTTCTGAGGCAGGCAGCGGAACCACTGAGCTAAATTCCTGGCCCCTCCCCTGGATCTTTAAATGAAGCTTTTGATACAATTCTGCCTTGCTAACAAGACTATTAATACTGTGGGCTTCTGGTCTGAGAGCTGTAGTTGGAGTAAAAAGCCTGTAGTTAAACACTTTGACTTTTACTCTTCCCATTTTTAGGTAGAAGTATAATATGTAAAGCCCATGTCTTTGAATCTCCTGGCTTGGAAGTTGGAAAAGACATACACCATCATCCATAGTGAGAACTATGGTCTTATATGTTGAAAGAAAGTTATTTTCGGCTTCTATGGTAGAAGAGATGTGATAGCTATCTGGGACAAAAATGGCCAGTACATTTCCACTCTTGGCAATTCTGTTGAATTGCTAGTGACTCCCTGCTATGTGGTGTTAATAAGAATTCTGAAACCTCATGGAGACTGAGCGGTAAAGACTATAGGAAGCAAATAGCGACATGGAAAGTGACAGTAAGCATGCCCGTTGTTTGCCATCTTTCGTGTATTATTCAGTTAACTTGTTTTGTTTATAATGGCTTGCAGAAAAAAGGGGAAAATGACTTGATGTTTGTTATTTATAGTACTTTTCCACTTTAGTAACTACAGTGTTGATGATGGAGGCACCAAGCTAGATTGTAGATTGCCTCTGTGTGCATTGGCTCTGAAATGTTGGCAAAAATGAGAAAAGTGATTTTGTCTAAAATAACTGAGAAATCAAGTAAAATATAATTATGTTTCACTCTAGTTCTTTATAAAGATGGTTGTGGTGGCTATGATCATTACCTGTAAGTTCAGCAGCAGAAGAGAGTAGTGTGTGAGGAACTTTGTTGCTTGAATCTTAAGATTATGCATGGCTTTCTGGCTCTGGTTAATTTGGAGAACATTGTTTGTGAACCCCTCATACTAATTGTCAGCCCTGCTCTATTAGTCCACCTGAAATGCTTCTCCTAGGCATGTGGTCTGAGTTGTGTCTTTTGCAATACCATGATGGCTTTAGGGCTCTCTGGCAGTTGCGGTGTTACATTGGCTTATTTTCTGATATGATTTGCAGTGTCAGAATCTGGTGCAGGAACTGCTAGTGCAGAAACAACTGGCAAG